TTTTAGTTTTGGAGTCTACTAAAACTGTCAGAAGTAAAGTCAAAAGATATTTATTCTATGTTTATTATAGAATAATAGACGATAGCACAATATTCAAATGACAATAAGTATTCGAAACGTTGAAAAAATATAATCTATATATTAATACGTGAAGCAAAAACTTTGTACCCCTTTTTACGAAAAGTGCGCGAAAGGAGGAGTATGAAATTTTCCACACTTATAGAGAATATAGAGAAGGAGTGCACAATGCTAATTTTTTTTTTAAATAATACATAAAAAATACTTTAAATCAATAAAGAAAACATTACAGACACTACATACCATGTATTTGACGCACACACGCATGCATACTATGGTCAAATTGAGAATTGATTAAATATTGTTTGTCTTTGTTAATATTTTTTATAGTGTAGTCTTGGCGAAATTTGTGATTATAGAAGTATAAAATACAGTCATAATGGTGTACAAACTTACAATTCCAATTAATTATACTCGAATTTCAACTACTGCGAGACCTCTAGTGTCTATAAAAACGTAAGAATAAACCGTAAGCATAGTTTTAAACAAATTTAAAGAACAAGACAATGTCGATCGGTTTTGTTATGTCCGGATTACTGGAAAATGCTTAAACAGATGAAGTTAGAACTGGCCATTGAAAATAAAATACATTGGTTTTTTCGAATCTCCCACACAACTAAGTGCATTAATAATTTTATCAATTAATCTCCATAAAGCTAACATTTTGAGAGCTAAATGACGGACTCTTCCCCTCTTGCCAGCCTGTTTCAAATCTCTTTTGTGTATTGCGATAACGGTACAAAGCCTGCTAATGTCTTTTAAGGACTTAGCGATTTAAACGGACTAAATAATGAACCAGCTACCCCTTCACAGTGCTACGCAATTTATGAGCTTAAAATTAATAGACATCTCAATCTGCATTATAGTTTAGTACAAGAAAATATTCTATACTAGAATATCGAAATATGTTTACGTCTGCTCAATTTTGTGTTCGTTCCAAATAAAAGATTATTTTATATTATTTAAATTTAATAAAAGACCAAATAAAAGACAATTTGCACTTAGACAGGCTTCAAGTGATTCTTGTTTCATTTCCTTTAAGATTAAAAAGGTTCGTTACTATTAGTTCGTTACTTTTTTTCACTAAAATATAGTATATATTAATATTAATAGTCATTTAAAATTTATCTTAAGTTTTCATGAGTTTTACGATTTAATCCTCGAATCGAAAATCATCCTCTTGCTCAAGTCTTATGAATTTTTATGACAACCTTACTAATGATGTACATTATCTAATAACAAAATATACCAGAACTGAAAAATCTCATCCCTATAAATCAAAGAATCTATATCCGCGAATACGTTCGTGAAGTCGTTTCGCCCGACGACACAAATCCGGATGATGTCTGTTTGTTATCAGCGTTGAGCAGCCAACTGTGCAGGGTTGCCAACCAACCGGTAATCGCATTAAGCGCTCAAAACGGGCGATTTGTGTGGAGTATATGGAGTATTGTTGGGCTTATTATCTTCTTATTTGAGCTGAACGGCCTCATCAAAATATTTGATACGTTAATTGCAATCTTAGCTTCAAAAATAGTAAGCCTGCTACTTAGATAGCTCTTTGTTCCCTCAAACAGAATTTTTAAAACAAAAATTTAAGACTACTAAACATTTTTCGACAATTAATGAAGGATAAAGAGGCAAGTGACTAAATTGATTCCATGTAAAGTATATAACTATATAATACAAGAATTAAACCAGTTTTCAGTTAATTTACTTGGATCTATAAATATTAAATCTAAAGAAAATTGAACACAATATTCTAATTTAACTTTTTAATACTAAATACAGCTTTTTCTCTAAAATGGTAACATGCATACGTTATATAATACCATATAATTCAGTGATTAATTATTATAAAATTGAGTTTTCTGTAAGGCTTGTCTTGTTTCTGGCGTAACCGGTATATTTCAGAAATGAATTTTAAATACGGACGCGCATCCACTTCAAAATTGTTAAATATGTTCTTTGTGTTTTTTAAGTATATGTTTTCTTTTGTCCCTTTCTAACTGCTGGCTGCCCTAAAGGGCTATTCCAGCTTCACCGGTTAGGTAGGCGAGCTCACGGGGCTATACTTGTGAGAACTCTCAAAAACTGACCCTCACTAGAGAAGTGCTTTGCTGAATCTACCGACAGTTCGGAATCGCGACCCACTGAGAAGATCTGGCGATAAATTCAGTGGGTTGTCTATCAATGAGTTACGTTGCACCCCAAAATCTTCGACGAGTTCGACGAGAACGGTGACTATATTTTCTAATTACTTAGCTCTGTTCAATGTTGCCGACCAATATTTGTTGATATTTGTTGTTTGAAGTCGTCGTGGCCTAACGGATAAGACGTCCGATGCATTCGTGTTGAGCGATGCGCCGGTGTTCGAATCTCAGGCGGGTACCAATTTTTCTAATGAAATACGTACTCAACAAATGTTCACGATTGACTTCCACGGTGAAGGAATAGCATCGTGTAATAAAAAATGAAACCCGCAAAATTATAATTTGCGTAATTACTGGTGGTAGGACCTCTTGTGAGTCCGCGCGGGTGGGTACCACCACCCTGCCTATTTCTGCCGTGAAGCAGTAATGCGTTTCGGTTTGAAGGGTGGGGCAGCCGTTGTAACTATACTTGAGACCTTAGAACTTATATCTCAAGGTGGGTGGCGCATTTACGTNGAAACCCGCAAAATTATAATTTGCGTAATTACTGGTGGTAGGACCTCTTGTGAGTCCGCGCGGGTGGGTACCACCACCCTGCCTATTTCTGCCGTGAAGCAGTAATGCGTTTCGGTTTGAAGGGTGGGGCAGCCGTTGTAACTATACTTGAGACCTTAGAACTTATATCTCAAGGTGGGTGGCGCATTTACGTCGTAAATGTCTATGAGCTCCAGTAACCACTTAACACCAGGTGGGCTGTGAGCTCGTCCACTCATCTAGCAATAAAAAATATATATATAAGGAAACCTTATTTTATTTAATCTAATTAATCATCGAAAGAGGCCCTAAAATTATATAATTGTTTAATAAAAACTAGTAAAGTACGACCCTACAATGCGCTCGTTAGAAAGAAGTCCGTAAAATCACCGCCCTTATATTTTATTTCTATTGCACCACGTATTATCCGCCTGTCAATATTATCGACGATCGGCTCTTGGCTTCCAACTAAATTGCTTCGGTTTGCAACGTTTCCACGTTAAACTATTTTTCTGTTTGTTTTCACTTTTGTTTGCTAATTCCTAAGATAGTTTATTCTAGTGACTATTTAATATTGCATTATCAGTTTTTGTTTTCTCTTAATTCATGCGATGTAACCCTAAAATTACAAGAATACGTCTAAACGACAAAAACATTCGCTTAAATTATCTTGGAAAATCTACCATTATTCACTATACTGAAAACTATTAAAGATTTATAGCTAAAAAGGAAAAAAAAAACTGCAATTTTAATGTAAAGACAAAAAGGAAAACCCTAATAATTCTGAGTTATTTAGTGCGATTTCATTTTGCTCTACTGACTAGTAACGCCATCTATTATTAGTTTTCTGAACGTGAAGATGAAATAAGGTTAGGAAGTTTGCTGTTACCAATATTAAATAATTAATACATATACACTCATGATATTGCAAATAAAAACATTATTTAACCAGCAATTTATAATCATAACACAATCCACCACTAGAGAATTCGCATTTTTTTTTCTGATATATTTTTAATCAAAGTTATTCCTTCAATACGAAAATCGTTTATAAACATGTCTGATCTGCCTCCGTATTAACTTTAAAAAAAGATCTGCCTTCGTGACTTAATCCTTAGCATAGCCACATTTCTTCATAGATAATACACATAAATTAGTTATAGATAAGCAACTCAAGCACTCAACAAAAATGTTTACGGGCGTCGGCCAGATGGCAGTAATATATTACTAATCCTATATTTTATTCATAATGAAGGGTTTCGTAAATTTTCAGAAACCACAAATTGATAAAATTTAATCAATTTGTCTATAACAAATAGTGACTTGTATGATTTATTAATTTTTCATTTTCTGCGTTTAGTTGTACAATAATTAAATGCCTTAACTGTAACAATATATAAATTTAGGGGCATCCGCTACAAGATGTCGCTAGGTTTCATACAAACAAAATATTTGTCTTAAAGTATCGCTGTTTCAGGGCGCATTACTTAATTCTAACACACATGAAATTTTTTATAGTTGAGACGTTCTTTTGTATAGTTTGGATTGACATTTATAAAATGATACATCCTAATAGGCAAGAAACTTTAGTTATTCAATCATGCCAATCGTCTTTCGAAGAAATTCGCTTGCAGAAAGACGTGACAAATCGCTATACCAAACTTTTATATCAAGAACATATCACTAAAAATACAGTGTGCTAAACGTATAGCTAATTACAGGTAGAAGCAATTAACACTCCCTCTTATAATAGTAAAAGTAAGATACAACAAAGGTGTCACAACAAAGGTTTCTTTGTTAACTCTTTATTTTTTAATTTTTTATTGCTTAAATGGGTGGACGAGCTCACAGCCCACCGCACTCCACAGTAACCACTTGTGGTTACTGGAGCCCATAGACATTTACAACGAAAATGCGCCACCCACCTTGAGATAAGTTCTAAGGTCTCAGTATAGTTACAACGGCTGCCCCACCCTTCAAACCGAAACGCATTACTGCTTCACGGTAGAAATAGGCAGGGCGGTGGTACCTACCCGTGCGGACTCACAAGAGGTCCTACCACCAGTAAAAGTAGTATACTCCAAGACACCTAAAGTCTCCTTCTATATTCAGCGACCCAAACTCTCTCGACTGTAAAACACGCTTAACACTTGGCCCACAAGGGACTATCAGTTTATTTGAACAAAGAAAAAGACTGTAAACCTCAATGGTGATATTATATTTGAACAGACTTACTTGAATAGTAAGGGTTTGTTGGCAAAGAGGCCAGAAGCCTTCTCCTTCGCGGCCTGTAGCCCCTGCATTGCTGCGGCCCGATGTTCCTCATCAAACTATTCTCCGTTCGACATCTATAAACAATAATTTATTTCACTATTTCATATAAAATATACGGCTTCTTTCATGATTAAGTTTTTAGATTGTGTTTAATTGTAACAAAATATCACGTCTCAAATTTATTTTAAATGTTTTACGCTGTAAAACTTACAAAACTTTAGAATTCATAAACGGAAGTTTAAACCATAAAAGTACTTCTAATTGCGTTCTATTAGTCGTGAAAATCGAAGAAAGTATCACAATATACTATGAATTTTGTTTAAAAGTAATGGAAAAAAAAATTGAATTTAAAAACTCTTCCTCCATAAGAAACCTGTTCTCTTTAAGTAGAAATCGAACACAATATATTGTTGAAGCTTTTAATTTAAATCACCAACCAACCGTTGTCAACGAAGGCCTATTCAGAAATAAATTTCGTTTTTTTAAAAATTGAATTAAATGTTTAATACGAAAATTGAAAATTATTGCAATTAATACGTATTTATTTAATTAAGGTATCTATTTTTGTGATCAAAACTATTAAAGAACACTGCTTGGTCTCAACCTATACCATTTGACGGTACACGAAGACTGCCATCACAGAACTGATGTAAGCTGAGTCCACATCCAGCTAAGTATGTTACTAAAGTTACAAATTCCCATTAATAACATATTAACCCAAATATCGAGCCCAGGATAAACAGGAGTCCGTGCCAAAATCAGTAAAAACGGTCTGTAGTGATGTAAGTAACGTTTACGAATGAGGTTGTGTAAATAGAATTCGAGGTTAGGTCTTTTTAGGTCGCCATTCACAATGTAATGTTGCCATTGTGAGGAAAAAGGTCAATTTTTTTTTACGCTATCTATGACCAAGGACTAAGAAATATCAGGGGCATAGTCAAGTTTGCTGACTATGGAGAAACACTCAATAACCCTCGTTTAAAATATACGTTATAGCGTTAGGCCATACAATTTCTTCAAATTGGAAATGGAGGATACTTCGCAGTTTTTTTTTTTTTATTTCCCTCCATGGCAAACAATTAAATAATCCATAACAGTAAGTAGTCACTGTCGCTAGTGTCTCGCACCAACTTGAAACCCCTTCAAGTTATTCAATGCCGTTTTTGCAGGATAGCTGTCGGAGCACCATGGTTACTAAGGAACGTGGATCTCCATGATGACCTAGAGCTTAACTTAGTCAGTAGGTATCTACAGTCAGCATCATTACGGCACTTTGAAAAGGTGGTGCGACATGAAAACCGTCTTGTCGTGGCCGCCGGAAATTACATACCCGATCCTATAGACCGAATGGTAAACAATCGACGTCGCCCTAAACACGTCATTACGGATCCTCACGATCCATTAACGGTGCTTTTAGGTACCACAAGCACCGGCTACCGTCCTCGTCGAACCCGTCGCTTGCGACGAAGGGCTCGACGAGTGAATTAACCCATAATAATAATAATAATAATAATGTTTTTATTGCAAGTAACCATGACTCATATAAATTGTTAATAAGACTTAGACCTATGTTAGTAGTTATATTTACATAGACACAGTCCACTGAGTTTCTCGCTGGATCTTCTCAGTGGGTCGCGTTTCCGATCCCGTTGTAGATTCTGTGAAGCACTGCTCTTGCTAGGGCCAGTGTTAGCAACACTCCCAGTTAGAGCCCCGTGAGCTCACCTACACTTCAGGAGAAGCTGAAATAGCCTCTCAAGGCTATCATCAGCATTGGTAGGAAAAAAAATTTTTTTTTATTGCTTGGATGTATGCATGTAATAATGTATATAATATAATAAATGTATGTAATGTATGCTGATAATGGCAGTCACACAGCTTGGCCACTGGCAATCACGGAAATTTATTTAACTTACTAATAATTTACATTTGGAAGAGACCAACACTACGAATGCTTATTTAAACAGTACCTACAGTACGGCTGAAAGGTAGGCAGCGGCTTGGCTCTATCCCTGGCATTGCTGACGTCCATGGGCGACGGTAACCACTCACCATGGGGTGGGGTATTTGCTCCGTCTGCCTACAAGTGCAAAAAACAGAAAATGAAGGACTTCTGTTTTTCTTTATGCTAAAGAATTTTTCTGTTTTAATAAATTTTCAATTGATCGATTCTCTTACCCTATAAACCAAAACACCGCTTGCTTCGTAGCAGAAACAAATAGAATATTGGCTCATTCCAACACAAGCTTGAGATGCTTTGTGAAAGCTAAATATAGTAAAAGCGCTTTTCAAAAAACAACGGTGAATATGATTTAACAAAAGCACAAGGTTTAAGTTAGTCTTAGATTTTCTTTATTTTATGATTACCGAAGATTAAAAAAAACCACACCTTTTACGTTTTGATGAAAATGATGTTTTTTTGGTACGAAATCAATAGTCAGTTCCGTCGGATAAGTTTTTGTGTTTATTTTTAATGCCAATATAATAATATGTAGATAAGAATACGGTCCATCTGATTGTAAGTACTCACGATCAGTCATGGACATCATCAACGCCAGGTGTACCTGTACCATGTCCATGATGTTGATGATGATGTCCACAACCTAGCCACTGCCCGCTAATAAAGTTATTGGCTTGAATCTAGTTTACTGCAATTTCTATGTACGGATTTGTCCACACTTACACATTGTGAATCTGTAAACCGTTGATATCGGCTTTAAAATTCTTCTTATTATATCATATTAGTATTCTAGCTAATTATCATATTAGCATTCTAGCGATAAGGTAATTTAAAAAAAATAGAGTCTAGTAGAGAAGTGTTAAAAAAGAATCGGTTGAATTCAAAAAAAATCACATCAACCGAAATTCCCGTAGTAATTTTAAAGACACAATGTGGAATTACATGTTCTTTAAAAAATGTTCTGACTTTGTGTTTTTTCACCAACTTTTATAATATTTGATCCATTCATTGTTTAAGATACGCTAATAAAAAAACTTAGAAAACATTTAACAAAGAAAAATGTTTTTATACAGAATTCTCATCTTCATTTTATCGATCACAAGTTATGTAACCATGAGGTTATATTATCAAATATACTTTCACATTAAATCAGATATTAGACTGTTTAAAACATACCTTTTGTTTAAATATATACTTAATTTTGTTGCTCGAACAATGAAATGATGTAGTAATATGTCCTATGTACCAAACTTGAACTATCACTTTACATTATATACATATATAATAGTATGTAAATAAGTCATGCTTATAAGCTATAGTATTCTGTGCTAAATTAGGTATGCAGTGATTGTGAATTTCAATCAAATTTCTATGAATAAAATAATTACTCACATTTTTTCAGTTCCCTGGCGTAGCAGCAGCGGCGTAGCGTCTGTCGATCGTGTAGCACCCCGCGCCGCTCTACTCGGTACGCTACGACTGCGCGTAGCCTCTACACCCATTGGGTACTACATTTTCAGACGTAGATAGAGCCTCGCCAATGAGAAACCGTCCTGTGAGGGGGCGTGGCTTTTAGTTTTCAGAAAATTTTCAGACGCTTCCAAAATATGTACCGTTAGAACAAACCCCATCAATGTTTCCACATGAATTTGCAGGGAGCTAACACAAAGAGAAACGCTACGATACGTCCCGCAATCGAGGCATCGGCTACGATGAATATTGATCAAACAAATAAAATATTGCGCCAAACGCATTCCATTTTCAAACAGGCATTCCTTATTCAAATATTTTTAGATCAGATCTTTGAACGTTCTCATTGCCACTACTATATTATTTTCACTAAAAAAAATATTTTTACGGCTTATACTCGGTTTTATTATTTTATCAGGCTATCGTGAAAATGAAACCAGGAGTCAAACAAACTGCCAGACCTCAGATTCTGTCAGTTTTTTCTGTGTGCAAACGAAAAATTTTTTTTCGGTAGTACCCAGCTCTATTCATTGTATCACGCTTAAATTTATTGTAAGAAATTTAATCAAATTATGATTTTGGTATAAAAACTTCTTCACATTTCCTATTGTATTTTTTTTATGTTCTTACGATGGGAGAAATAACTTACAGCCCACCTCGCTAAATAAATGCCGCTATCCACCATATGAAATTCAAGACTACGAGTATATTGAATGATATGCTCCACTGTTTAAGCCACAGCCCTGCGACACAGCAGGAATAACCAGAATGGGCCTATGATATATCTTTCTTCAAACGTCCTCAACAAAAAACAGCAGCTTGGCTGTGCTCCTATTGATGTCCATGAGCGACACTGACTACTTACCATCAAGTAGAACGGGTGCACGTCTGCCTACAACAGCGATTAAAAAAAGCATGCCCATGTGAGTAACACTAAAGCTCTGATTATACAAAAAAACGCAATGACTACAAAAATTTATAAAAACAATCAACATGATTTTTTTACTTTATAATCTGAATCTCGGAAACGGCTCCAACGATTTTCATAAAATTTAGTATACAGGGGATTTCGGGGGCGATAAATCGATCTAGCTACGATTTATTTTCAGAAAATGTTGTTTTATTCTTGTTTTCAATAATCAACTCTTCCCGACATCTATTGGCGAATAATAATACTATTTTTCTTAATTGAGGGCAACTAACCGCTTTAAAGACACAACAAGATGGCGTTATCAAAAAAAAAACCGAACGAAGCTCGGTCATCATCTAGTGAGATTAATTCGCGAACAAGTGCTGTTTACGCATTTTCTTAGAAGATATTGCTCTGCCCTTCAAGCCGAGAGTAACTAAAATGATAATGGTATATATGGTTTTTAATTAGATTATGCAAACTGTGTGCTTAGTGTGAGATGTTTAACGTTCTCGATAGCGTAAAAGTTAACGCAAATTTGTATGGAGTTGGAACCTTTGTCTACGTTTGTCGCTAGGGGCACTGTTCCAACTGTATACAAATTGAGTTAACTTTTACGCTATCGAGAATGTTAAAAAACTCACATTAAGCACACTGTAACCTAGAACTGTATCATCAAATCCCTTCTC